AATTGACCGGGGGCTCTCGGGATAAAGTCCAAGGCGGGCGCAGAAAGGGATTGCGAAACTGACCGGGCGGCCCAAGAATGCCCAAGAATGCTCCAGGATGGCCCAAGAAAATGTTGCGAAATTGACCGGGGGGCTCTCTGGGTAAACTTCAAGACGAGCCCAGAAAAATAATGCGAAATTGACCAGGACGCCCAAGACCGCCCCAGAACGGGTCCAAGAGGCTAAAGCGCTTCCCCAGGCAGCTCCCACGAGGCAACAAGCCTGTACACGCCAAAAGACAATCTATGGTTGCCTTCTCGCCTTTTCGCTTCCGATGCCCTTGCGAAGCTTCAAAAAGCCTCCAAGATGGCCCAAGAAAGCCTCCAAAGGAGGCCCAAGAGAGCCCGAAGACGGCCTCCAGGCGCCCAAGAGCGCTCCAAAGACGCCCCAAAAGCCGCCTCAAGAGGCGACTTTTGTGGCTCCCGATGGGCCAGCCTTCATTGCCACCCTCCTCTTTTTTTGATCGATATCCTCGAAGATGGCCCCAAGAGCGTCTCGAAAGAGTCCCAACGGATTCCAAAATGGGCCCAAAAGCCCGCCAAGCGTCCGCCAAGCGATCCCAAAAAAGACCCCCAAGAGGCTCTCACAAAATCCCAAGCGACTCCCCGAGACACCCAAAATGCTCCAAGCAGCCCCCCAGACCGCCAAAAGGACCCCATGATGCCCCAAGAGGCTTCCGAACAGCTGCCAAGAGACATCCGACGAGACGCCAAAAGGCATTCAAGAGCCACCTGACTCTTCTGATGACCCCAATCGTCTCCTTCTCCTTCACGTCCCCCTCTTCAGCATCGCCATCATCATCATCATCATCGTCATCATCAACGACATCGGCATCAGCATCATGGCGCTGCGCCTTCCCCCGAAGGCCGCGCCGCTCAACGCCTCGCACCACGCCGGTCGAAGAAGCGCAACTGCACCGAGCCGGCGCCGGGCCCCGACGGCATCGCTGGGGAGCCGTCTGGCGGCGCACCGAGCCGGAGGCGTCCAGGATCTGAAGTCAACCATTCTCTGTCGCGGCGGCGCCCATGCACATGGTTGAGCAACCCAAAGAAGCCCAAACGGGGTCCTCGCCAAGATTCCGAACCTATCAACACAAGGCGGTGGGGAACGAATTCAACCTTTGTCTATCCCACGTCGTCGCCGAGCAGCTTTCCGTGCAACTGTGATCGGGACCGCGGCCGCGGCGACGACGGGACACAACCAGTAAAAAACAATTTAAAACTTATCTACACAAGGCGGCCAGGGCCTGAGGCCAACCATGCTTTATCGTACCGGCGCCGATGCATACTGCGGAGCTACCCAAAAAGGGGTTCACCGCTCTTCACACCTGCGCATGGCTACCGAGTCAGTTCGAGAGCGGGTTGTCGAACATGTCACACACAGGGACGCAGGCCAATGCAGCCTCCCGTTCCACCATCTCCTGTGGGTCTCCACATCGGTGGTCGTCGTCATCGATGTCGACGGGCAGACCCATCCCACTTCCCTTTTACTTTAGTCCCACCAGCCCTCTGGGCGTAGATGGTTTAACGAATTTTGTGTTCTCTCTTTCCACAACCCATCCTAACCCTGCTGGGGGGAACCCCTCCCCAAACCCCCTCCCCTGGGCCCGGGAGGGGGGGGGGGGGCGGAGATAACCTCTCCAACAACACCTCAACTCGCCTGGGCATCGTTGTTGGATGGGCTGGTGGGGATCCAGGATACGCGAAGCGTCAAGAATTTGACTACGCCTGTTTCGTTTCGCACGGAGGAAGAGGAGGAAGGGAGGGGGAGGAGGAGTTTTGTTTCCCGGCATGCCTACATGGGGAGGAGGAGGAGGAGGGGGAGGGGGAGGAGGAAGAGGAGGAGGGGAGGAGGAGGAGGGGGAGGGGGAGGAGGAAGAGGAGGAGGGGAGGAGGAGGAGGAGGGGGAGGAGGAATTTTTGGAGGCCTTGAAAACTACCTGACATGGCGCTTCAGGCTGTCAACAAGGAAAAACTCACGCAGGAGGGGGAGGAGGAGCAGGAGAAGGGGGAGGGGGAGGACGAGGAGACGCCTTCAGCAACATGCAAATCAAACGTGATCGGTGATCGGCGGTAGGCTGTCGACTCATAGGCTATAGGCTAGGATCGCGAATCTAAACGGACCTTTGCGTTTGCAAGCGCAAGGCTTTGCAGGAAGAGAATCGCGGGGACTCCGTGAGACAGAACCTTGCGAGGGCCACCCTGGGGCCCCGATGGGGGCCCGAGGAGGAACGGACCTTGCGAGACACCTTGTGCGCAAGGGGTCTCCGTGGGAGAGAACCTTGCAGGGCCCACCTTAAGTCCCCGATGGGGGCCTCGTGTCAAATCTAGGTGTGTCTGAAGCGAAAGGCCTGAGTTTTTTATCATCCCTCTGAGCAGAGCAGAGCTCTACTTCCCACTCACGTCGCCGTCACCGTCGTCGTATCTCTTCACGATTGTCCAGGATGACCGAAGCCTGGCAACTCGGATGGGGGCATCTGATGTCGAGCTACATGAAAATTACCTTGTTCCGGGGCGTTTCATCGGGCCTTCCAACGGATCGTGCTGTCCGACAAAGCACCCATCGTCGCCGTCGTCTCCGTCTCCCCTGGGTCGGACCAAAGGCAGGGGGAGCGAGGAAACGGGAAAGTCCTGGCCGATGGGGCCCGAGAGCCAGAGCATCTCGTTTACCCTGGCGCGCTGGCGCTTGCGCGCCGGTTCCTGGATGTCGTGAAGCAACCTCTGGGAGGCCCGCAAGATGTCATTGTGCGCAACCTCGGCGCCTTGAATCATCTTGTCGAGCTTCTCGAACTTCTCGGTTTTCTGTGACACGCTCTGTTGAATCCCACCAGCCCTTTTGGGCGCTGTTCGTCCAGGGCGTTTGCTCTTCCAACCTCTCTGTCTTTCCTGGGCATCGGATACACCTCATCCGCCCAGGAGGGTACCACAACCGCCCCCACGGAGCTCAAAAAGGCTTCCAGGACCGCCCCCTGCACGACTGCTTGACTGCAAAACCACCTGGACGAGAAACCCTCCTGGAGAGCGACGAAGAGAAACGCGCCCCCTCTTCCTCCACCTCATCTTTCGCCACTTTTGCGTCTCCTCCTGCTCTTTCCTCCTCCCCCCCGTTCTCCTCCAACCCCCTCCTCCCTCCTTCCAGCTCCTCTACATCCTCCTCTTGCTTCTCTCCCCCCTTGTTCCTCGTCCTCTTTCGCCCTCTCCGTTCTTTCTACCTACTACTCCTGCCCCGCCTTCCCCGGTCCTTGCTCCTTCGCACCCTCCTTCCCTCCTCCTCACCCCGCCTTCTTCCGCCACCTTCACCCCAATCTGCGCCGTTCCGGCTCAATGTGATTCCAGTTCGCTTGAGCATCGTTGGTGTATGGGCTGGTGGGGTTGCGCGAAGCGTCGCAAACAGCCTTCAGACGTGGGACAGCACGGTCGCCTCGGCATTCTCCTCTGAGATCTGTTTGAACAACTTGTCCCGTTCTGAGCGGAGCAATTGCAACGATTGCGCAACTTCCGTGTCCAACGATGCGAGCGAGGCGCTGGTGGTGGACATCGCACGAGGCCGAGAGAGCCCTAATCATTGGGCCCAAAAAGACCTCCCACCATGCTGTTCGGGAGAACGAACCTGTCCATGTATCACAAAAACCACAGCCCCAACGAAATCCATGGAAGGGCGCCGCCACCTACGTTCCAGCGAATGCGCCGAGAGGATCTCGCATACCTGTTGGGGGGGGGGGGGCGGGGGGCAGTAGCCGGTTGCGGTGGCACATATACCACTAGACGTTGGGGGGCACATATGACGGTTGGGGGGGGGTGGGCCGTGTCCCACTAGACGGTTGGGAAGCCATATATACCATTAGACGGCTGGGAACCCTGCTCGCACTCCTCTACCTCCTCCTGCTCCTCCTCCTCCTCCTCCTCAGCGGGTCACAAAACAGCCCATAATTGCCTCAAGAAGACTCACGAGACTCCAAAAAAAAAACGTTATGAATAACGCCTTCGCGACCACTTTGTAAAATATGACCACCAAAACGGCCCAAAGCTGCGGAGCCACGAGTCCAGAGGACTCTAACACTACTGCACAAGCCTCCCAGAGTCCTTCCGAGAGGGCCACAAGAGGGAAAAACGTCGATTTCCGGGTGTGTGTATGTGTGTGTGCTTGTGACTTTGGCGATCTCGTGTCTTCTTGGTTTCAAATCACCCAGGGCGGCTAACGAGGCGCCCAAAAGCCTCCATTACTGTCCCGAGACGGCCCTGGCTGCCACAACGAACTCCGCGGTGGCCCACAGGCGCCCCTGAGATGGCCTTCAAAACGGCCCATGGGGCCTACAAGACAGACTCGATGGTTTCAAACCACGACGGCCCGTGAAGGGCCAATAGGTAATCGAGTTTCGCGACCACTGACCACCAAAACGGCCCAAAGCTGCGGAGCCACGAGTCCAGAGGACTCTAACACTACTGCACAAGCCTCCCAGAGTCCTTCCGAGAGGGCCACAAGAGGGAAAAACGTCGATTTCCGGGTGTGTGTATGTGTGTGTGCTTGTGACTTTGGCGATCTCGTGTCTTCTTGGTTTCAAATCACCCAGGGCGGCTAACGAGGCGCCCAAAAGCCTCCATTACTGTCCCGAGACGGCCCTGGCTGCCACAACGAACTCCGCGGTGGCCCACAGGCGCCCCTGAGATGGCCTTCAAAACGGCCCATGGGGCCTACAAGACAGACTCGATGGTTTCAAACCACGACGGCCCGTGAAGGGCCAATAGGTAATCGAGTTCGCCCATGACGCCTCCAAATCGGCCATGCATCGCCTCAGGACCCGAAGTCGGCCCATCAGCACCCCAGGAAGGCCCGAGAGGCCTCCAAGAGACCCTCGAGGAAGGTCGGAAAATACTCAGTGATCACGCCGGCACGGTCGCCACCGTTGCTGTCGTTCGTTCCATTCCCACCCCCCGGACCCTGAGACCCCCATCAAAAAAACGACGACGACGACGGAACCAATAGCGCTGCTCGACGCCGCACTCTTTTGCCGCATCTTGTGGCCGAGCACCGCGCTGTACACCGCGGAGCGGTCGCCACGAGTTGACGCGGGCGGGCGTCGTGGCCGTCCCAGAACAAACACCTATCTACACAGAGCGGTCGGGATGCGATTGGGATGGAAAGTGCTGTAGGCTTCTTACACGAGACTCCCACTCGGAAACCCGAGGAAAAACCCATACTGGCCCCCGAGCGTAAATAATTTGAACGTCTAGCCCCCAGATGCGAGTACCAGTGTCAGGGACATCACACAATTGGCAGTTCCACCCCAACAACCATGCAGCTGCCTGCAATCGGCTGGCGTCGCGGCTCTTGAGCCCACACATTGCTGAGCCCATTTATTGCTCACTGATGACTGACACGTATACCACGCATATCCAGCTCGCCGTGGTCGGAAGTTCAAAATAACGTACACCAACGGCACCCAGGCACACGGCGGGGCCACTCAAAAAATTCAAACGGGCCCATCGCAAAGATTTCAAACGTATATACATATGACGGCAAGGACCAACGTCAAGCGTTGTCCATCGCACCGGCGCCCAAGCACATGGCGGTGCCACCTCAAAGCGTTCAAACGGGCTCCGCGCCAAGATTTCAAACATATATACACACGGCGGCCGGGAAAATCGCTCTCCGTCACCACTCAGCTTTCCGCCTCTTCGTTTTCACGCGCAGTGTCCTGCACCTCGATGAACGACCGACCTGTGCTCCACGGTTTTCCTCATTGCTTGCCCTCTCACGCCACACAGCACCTGACACGGTCAGATGCACAGCACCGCCGCCCTCCCTCACACGTTTCCTTCTCCCCCTCCCCCCTTCCCAGAACGACGGGCGACCGAGACGAAGGGAAGGCGGGCGAAAGTCGAGAGAGGCGAGAAGGGGTACAGCGACACGAAAACCCGTCCAGGAGAGAGGCACCCAAGAGAGGGTGGGAGGAAAAAACCAACAAGACGCGAGCACAGCGGGCGACCGACACCTCGCGATCTCGCTTTCCTTCTCAATGTCTTTTCCCCCCTTCAAACCCTCCTGCCGCTATCCCTCCTGAGGTTTCCGCCTGCACAACTCCCATATTCCCCCTTTCCTTTCTGCCTTTTACTCTTTATACTCCCCTTGCTCCTTTGCTCCTCAGCCCCCTCCTTCTCCTTCTCCTTCTCTTCCTCCCCCCCTCTCTGTCCAAACGAATCACAGAACATCATGGGCCACAGACCTTCCCCGGAACTCGCCAGGACGCCCGGAAAAACGTTCACGAGGGCCCCCCGCGGGGATCCTGGTCATCGTCGACAATCCGCCGAAAGCCGATCAACCGCCGATCGACCATTCGACGTTGAGCCAGCTGCACACCGCTGACCACCACAACGACTGCCGACTACCCGCTCAAAACCCAACTGACCGCATGCCCCGCCGAACCGACCGACATCCGACCGAACCGCCGGCCATCCGCTGCCGCAGCAGATCCACAGTCCTTCGAACAGCCGTTAAATACCGGACCGACCGCCGACCGCCAACCGTCCACCGCGGATGTGAAGGAGAGGTGCGCAGAGCATCTGGCTACTGACCTGGCCAGAGGTGCCCAACGCCATCGCGAAACTGAACATCCCTGATCACGATGACGTCGCCCTTGGTCAACGGGCCGAAGTGCGTCGCCAGCCTTGGACGCACCATGACAGGGGCCGATGGCACGCGTACAACACCCGACCAGCACGATGCGTAAACGACTTTCGCAGGGGCGCCCGAACCAATCTCTCCACCCTCCGGCCTTTTCATTTGTTTGTCCTCCCCTTGTTGTCCTCCTCCCTGCCTCGCATCCTCATCCTCCTCACGCTCCTCTTCCTCCTCCTGCTCCTCGTCGTCCTCCTACTCCGACTCCCCCTCCACCTCCTCCCCCTCCTCCTACGGAGCTGCCAGTCAAACCTACGCCCGCGTTTCGCATTGCAAGGAGCGCGAACAACTTGGCGAATCCTTTTCCACCTCCTCATTCTCTCCTCCCCAACTTCCTTCTCCACCTCCTCCTCCTTTTCCTCCTTCTCCTCCTCCACCTCCCGACGCGCTGCCCCGCCTCCACCCCCTCCTGCGTATCGTCCTCCTCCTCCTCCTCCGTCTCCCCCCCCTCTTCTTCCTCCTCGTCCTGCCAGCCAGTGTCGACCACAGCCTCGGAAAAACAAGAAAGCAACTATCCCACTGGGCCCCCGACTCGGACCACATCAGGATCCGCGTCACGACGCCTGACTCCGTGTCCTTCACGCTGGCTTCCGCCACCATCTTCGGGACCTCCTGCGCGCGTGGCGCGAGAGCTTCGAACGAGCTCTCCAGATCCAAGATGGTTTGGAGGAGGTCCGAGGCAGACTCAAAAGCCCCCCGAAGAGAAAGCCGATAGAAGGTCACGATGTCTCCAAGGACACCTCAACAGGGCCAGAAAGGGGCCGGGGTGGCACCCACCGAACCACCACCACCCACACACCACCACCACCCACCCACAACGCACACACCACCCATCGCCCTCCCTCCACCCATTCACAACCAACCCCCACACGCGACTCATACGCGCGCCAGCCAGCCACCCACCCACCACCTGTTCACACGGCCCACCAACCTATGACTCACTCACCTATCACCGACCCGTCAACACACCACCCAATGTACACCTGCACACCACACACACACACACACACCACCTACCACCCACCCACCACCCGCCCACCACCCACACACCACCATCCTTCTTTCATTTCACCTTCGGATGGACTCTCCAGCCTCAAGATGGTCACGAGGTGTTCCGATGGGGACGCCACGAGGCCCCAAGAAAAAACCGATGGCAGCGCACGATATCTCCAGGAATACCTCCATAGGGACAGAGGAGGGCCGAGGTGAGGTCAATGGCAACTTCAACGCAGCACCCACCCCAAGTCTCCTGAGCGGAAGGCTCTGGGTCTGTGGACTCCAAAACTTCCACTGTGAGGTTGGCGGCCATGTTCCCGGCAACCGCCTCCTCGACCGACGTGATGTTCAGGAGATCGTCGCCCTCCCCTATGTTCCAGAATGCCCTTTCCTGATCCCAGCCCTGTTCCAAGAAATCTTAGTCCTCCGTCTTTCACCTCCTCCTCCTACACTTTCCCCACACCCCTCCCTTCCCCATCCTGCTCCTCCTCCTCCCCATCCCTTTCTCCCCTCCCCCCCCCCTTTCTCTGCCTCCTGCTCCTCCTCCTCCTCCTCCCCCTCCTCCTCACTCCTCACGCCCTTCCTCCTCCCCTTCCTCCCACTCCTGCCCCCTTCTCCACCTCCTCCTCCTCATCCTCCTCCTCCCCCCCCCCTTCTCCTCCTCTCCCTCCTCCTCATCCCCTTCCTCCCCTCAGATATCCGAGACCTTGATTTTCCTTAAACGCGGTCCCTGGAAGTCCCGACTCTCTTCCAAGAACCGACTTGAAATCCCGAGTCGTGTTTTCTAACGGCCCTAGAGATCGTCGAGGCCTTCCCGCGGCCGACAAGAGCCCCAAACCTAAGGGTCTGTGTTTCGCACGGAGCCCATGCTCTTTTTGCGCCGGCAGGGCCGCAGCTCCCCCCTCCCCCTCCTCCTTCTCGTCCTCCATCACCATCCTCATCATCATCATCATCATCATCATCCTCATCCCTCTTCTCCTCCTCACCCTCCACCTCCTCCTCCTCGTCCTATCGGTAATATATGGCTTCACTGGTGTGCCTAGCTTGTCGAACGGAAAAGGCTATTCAATGCAAAAATGATATGTTCCCATTTCTATCTTCGCGCCTTCGACCCAAAGTTTCATACATGTGTGTTGTCAGCCCGATCATTCTTTGTCTGAGTTCAACACTCCTCTCGTCCCGCCAATCCGTCCGCCTCTACAATCCCTTTGCAGCAACCTTCCCTTAGTGCTCCGCGTCAACCCCATCCCGCCGGTTCACAGCCCACGGGGATGCGGTCGGGGGGGACGACGCAGGCTCGCGACTCTTTCCCGCAGAGCAGCTGGGCGGCACCTTTATAAATAGAGACCGTCCAATTCTTGAGGAACACGACCTGGCCGACAGCCCACGGCGCCTCGACGGTCGACCACGGCACTGCAGACCCGAAAGCCTTAAGCACCACGGTCTTGCTCTCCTGAGAGGTGCGGCGCATCACAAGGGGAGTCCTGCAGCAAGCCACCCGTCCGCCATATTATTCCTACATTTCCGTCGGGAGCGGCTCTTTCCCACTCACTACTCACCACTCACCACTCGCCACTCACCACTCACTACTCATTCCTCACTACTCAATACACGATATGTACTACTCAGTACTCAGTACTCACTACTCATGAATCACCACTCATTCCTCACTACTCACTACGCAATACGCACCACTCACTACTCATGACTCGATACTCACTCTTCACTACTCACTACTCACTACGCACTAGTCACCGTTCACTGCCCACCACTCACTACTCACTGCTCAGCACTCACTACTCACTACTCAGTACGAACTACCCACTACTTACAACTCACTACTCAGTACTCGCTACTCGCTACTCATCACTCACTACTCACCAGTCACTCCTCACTACTCACTACTCACTACTCACTACTCGCAACTCACTTATTTCTACTCACTATTCACCATTCAATACTCACAACGCACTACTCACTCATCACACACCACTCACCCCTGTCTACGCACTACGCATTTCGAACTACTCACTACTCACAACTTCCTACTCACTACTCACAACGCACTGCGCACTACGAACTACCCACTACTCACTACTCACTAATCACCACTCACTACTCATCACTCACCACTGAGTACTCATTACTCACTACCCACTACCCACTACCCATTACTCACTACTCACTACGTGCGGGCACCCGGGCACCCGGGCACCTGGCCGGGCACCCGGCGCGCCGCCGTGTTCCAGGATTTTCAAAGGCGGCCAACTTCACCTCACCCTGGAATCCGCGAGGACCCCTACAGAGGCAAGCTCTGACTGGGGATTTTGTTTTCCCCAACCACGGTGGGGGGGTAACTTGGTACAAACGCGTGCAAAGGCTCACGTTTACAGCGGCGACGGGGCTGCTTGTTAACGCCGCTTCCTGGTCCACGGCTTCCACAGTACTGATGCGCTTCGCCTTGAACTGGAACGTAACGTGAATGACGGTGATGCGAAGGATCAACGAAGCCCGCAGAACTGCCTGAAGTCCAAACAGAAACGCAAGGAATGTGCTAACAGGATACACATGACACCAGAGAAAACCCCCAATCAGATTGTTGTTGGGGATATGGAACTATAGAGGTATTGGGCTATTTGGCCACTGGGTGATTGCGCTGAAGGCTATAGGGCTATAGGGCCCTAAGGCTACAGGGCTGTGGGGCTATAAGGCGATGGGGCTATAGCGCTATAGTGCTATAGGGCTATCGGGCTATACGGCTAAAAGGGCTATAAGGCAATAAAGCTATAGGCTGATTTTCTCCCCCCCCCCCCCCCCCCCCCCCCAAAGGACGACCATGGGGGGGGGCAAATATACCACTAGACGGTTGGGGGGGGGGCAAATATACCTCTAGACGGTTGCGGGGGGGGGGGGCAAATATACCACTAGACGGTTGGGAGGGCAAGTATACCGCTAGACAGTTGGGGGGCTTGGGGGAGGGCAAATGTACCACTAGACGGTTGGGGGGGGGAACATACCACTAGACGGTTGGGGGGGGCAAACATACCACTACACGGTTAGGGGGGGGCAAACATACCACTAGACGGCTGGGGGGAGAGGCAAATATACCGCTAGACGGTTGGGAGGGGGGCAAATATACCACTAGACAGTCGGGGGGGCAAATATACCACTAGACGGTTGGGGGGGGGCAAATATACCACTAGACGATTGGGGGGGGCAAATATACCACTAGACGGTTGCGGGGGGCAAATATACCACTAGACGGTCGGGGGGGGCAAATATACCACTAGACGGTGGGGGAGCTTGGGGGGGGCAAATGTATCACTAGACGATTGAGGGGGGCAAATCTACCACTAGACGGTTGGGGGGGGGCAAATATACCACTAGACGGTTTGGAAGGCAAATATACCAGTAAACGGTTGGGGGGCTTCAGGGGGGCAGATATACAACTAGACGGTGGGGGGTGGGGGGGGCACATGAACTACTAGACGGTTGGGGGGGGGCAAATATACCACTGGACGGTTGGGGGAGAATATATACCATTAGACGGTTGAAGGGTCACCCGGGCCTGACCACAAAATCGGCGACCAGGCCTACCTACCCTTGAATCCGCTAGGACCCCTACAGAGGCAAGCTCTGATTGGGGAACAATCGTTCATTCGGCTATCTCTCCATCGCCCGTCCGATTTGCAAGGACCCGTGTTTGACGAGATTCCGAATAAAAGACTCAGCGAGGTGATGGGGGAAGGATGACAAGGTGAGCTGGAAACTGAATAGCCCTCATGCGAGCACTGGCCTGAGTAAGCCCAGACACCCGCACGAGGTTCCCAACGTTGGACGCAAGCTCATCGAGAAGGTCGTTGCTCGTTCGCGCCCGACGCTGAGCAGGGGCGTCGGCAGGAGCAGCCGGCGCCGCTGCCCTGCGCACGAGCTTGGGCGCCATCCGTCCTCACTCTGGCTCCCCCCTCCCTCCTGCTTCGTTGCTTGCATGACTTGCTTGCACTAGCCCTTATTGACTTCACGATCGACTTGTTCAACCCGAGCTGCCCTTGTCGTCCTGTTCACCCTGTCCGCCCTGCACCCCTCAGAACACAATTTCCTCCTTGTCGCTACTTGTCCAATTTGTCACCCGGCGTCCCTCGGCCCTTCCTGAATTCCCTGCAAACCGTGCTGAAGACGGCGAATGGGCTGCAGAACTGAACCCGCGTAAAACTGACGCGGGGGTCAGAATGGGGCACCCGGAATCGATACGAAATCCGAATGCCTCGTCTGGTGACCCGCACGGTCACTTTGCGACGACACGACTGGCCGCGTCTCGGAGAGTTCGCCCACAAAGGTGGACCCCTGGAAGCGACTGACTCTGGTGATTATCCTGGGCCACAGTAATGAAAAAGCGACCGAACTCTGCTCGGAGACCCGCGTGGACACCTGAAGGGGAATCGACGCCAGCGACAAGGCAGAGAGAGCGATCATGCATCCCTCAACCCAGCATTGACGTTTTGAGACCGGAGCCGGATGCAGCTCAGGACACTGGCCAGAACCCGCAAAGGACCAGGGAGGACACGACGACGACAGCGGGGCGAGAGAGGGAGAGAGATCGGGCGGGAGTGAGAGTGAGAGAGAGAAGCGAGGGGGATGGGGCGCCACCCTGTGATGCGCCATCAACGCCCACTCTCCCTGCTCGCACTCCCCACAATGCTCGCTCCCGCGACCTGTCCTAACTTCTCTTCGGGTCGCAATGCTGATGGCTGATGGGCTACCGCACTTGAGCCGAAAGCTTGCGACGAATGCAAGAAGACGGAAGGCCAGGCACCGACAGGGAATCCGAATGCCTTGTCGGGTCGCTGCGGAAGCCGCCCAAACGACTCCACGGCTGGTACCGCGTTTGGGGACTTTCCAAGATGGATCTCGCAACAGACCTCGGATCTTTCGCTCAAGGGAGGGTCGGGAAAGCGGAAGACATTGGCAATTTCCCTTCAGCAGCCGTGCCCTCGCACTCATCATCGTCGTCGTCACGCCGATATAAAAAACGCCAGGCTCCACCCTTGGAGGACTCCTGTTTGCATTGCCTCCCCCCTGGATGGCGCAACCCCAGGCGAGCAATTCCTCCAACCGCTTTTCCGACACTGCTTCTCTCCTCCACGTCCCTTTTCCACCTACTCCCTTCCTTTTCATTCTCCTCCTCGCCCTCTTCCTCCACCTCCCTCTCCTCCTCCTCCTCCGCCTCTTCCCCACGACTACTGCAGAAGCCCAATTAGTTGCTCAATAAGCATCCGAACGGCCCTCTTGGCGACCCCGAAGATGGGCAACTATACAATGTACACACAAAACCATATATGTATATCTACATATATGTATACAGGGGATCCGTGCGACTGATTCTTGCGATGACGCGGTTTCTTGGTTTCCAACCACCCACGGCGCCCAAGCTGGCCTTCAATTTTGCCCGAGACAAACTCAAGAGGCCCCGAAAGTAGCTCCAAAACTGCCCACGAGGACACCGCGAAAGACGAAGGATGTCCCTAGAGTGATCTTGACGAGAGTCAAGATCGCACCCAACCCTGCAAAGGTAATTTCCAATCAAAAAAGCCCAGGAGGATCCAAGAGACAACGAAATTCTTCCACGAGGACTCCAACAGGGCCACAGACGGCCTCACGACGGCCCAAAGCGGCCTAACAGGGCCCCAAAACGGCCCAGGACGCCTCCAAGGTACCCCCCAGCAGGTTTCGAAGATGGCCCCGTTGCAGTTTCTCACAAACGCCCTGCACCCGCTTTTGCCTCGCTTCCATCCCCGTCCACTCCGCCCGCCTGGAAATGGCAACGACGATGGCACTGGTGGCTGCTCGACGGCGCACCCTTTGCCGCGTGTTTTGCCCGATCACCGCGCTGTACACTGCGGAGCTGTCGCACAGAGTTGACGCGGAAGAGCGTCTTGATCGGACCAGTGCGATCACCTATCTACACAGAACGGGCGAAGCTGCGGCCGCGACAACGACGGGGCCCAAACCACAAAAGAGGGCCCGTGCGTACGCATAAACGTGAAGCGCATCTGACGCGATCGCTTTGGCCGGTCGCTATGTAGGCATTCGACCGGAGACTTTCATTTCGTAACCCCAAAAAGAAGACCTATTGGCAACGGGGCGTGAATAATGTGAACGGTGAAACCTTAGCACGAGTACGACTTTCAGGGACATCATACTGATTGCAGTTTTCCACCACATCCTTGCAGCTGCCTGGCACCGGCTGGCATCAAACATCTCATGCCCACTCATTCTTGCGCTCATTGATTACGGCGGACAACCCAACCAATAGACCGCGCTCTCTCTGTCTTGTCGTGGCCACGTATCCAAACATATGTACACGACCAGCGCCGTGCACATGGCGGGCCAGCCCAAAAGAATTCAAACGGGCCGCCCACAAGAGTTCAAATGCGCACCTCGCGAAGATTTCAAACATATCTACATAAGCCTGGCAGGACCGAGGCCGACCATTCTCTATCGCACTGGCGCCGATCCACATGGCGGGACCACCCAAAAGACTTCAAACGGGCCCTCGCCAGGATTTCAAACATATCTGTACAAGGCGGCCAGGAATGGTGTCAACCATACTCTACCGCTGCTTGCCTGGTGAAGGAGGAGCGGACGAGTGGGACGGACGCAAACACAGCGATCGACCGACATCAAGCCACCAGACGGGAGAGTGGCAACGCAGGCACCAGCGGTGAAAGGACAATATAGACTACCGGATGATGGGAGGTAAATAGGGAACCAAAACAAACGCCAGCGGTGAATGGAGGCAAATATACTACCCGACGGTGGGGGCAAATGTACCACTAGACGGTTTTGGGGGGGGAAGCAAGCACCACTGGGCGGTCGAAACATATATGTCACTGGACGGTTGGGAGTACAAAACAAACGCCAGCGGTGAATGGGGGATAATATACCACCGGACGGCTGGAGACAAAAATGGGGTAGAGAGTGCAAACCCAACACCAGCGGTGAAAGGAGCACATATACAACCGACGGCGGGGGAAATATACCATTAGACGGTTGACAGCCACTGGAGTCCGAAAAAACTGTAAAAAGGTATTCCAAAAAATGAGACCATAGACAAAGGGAGGGAGGAGGAGGACTTTAAAAAAAAAGAAGGAGCAGCAGTAGCAGGAGCAGCACAATTAGGTGACGAAACCATGCGTTCCTATGTAAGAACAGAGGAATAATAGGCGCATGAAAGGCGCTTGAGAAAAGCGCATCCGGCGGCGCACCGACGTCGGATGCGGCCAGAACCTGAAGTCTACCATTCCCTATCACATCGGCGCCAATGCATAGGGTTGAGCAACCCAAAGGAGTTCAAACGGGGTCCTCGCCAAGATGTCGAACATATCAACACAAGGCGGCGGGGAGCGAATTCAACCTTTGTCTATCCCGCTTCGCCGCCAGGCAGCTTTCCGTGCAACTGCGGTCGGAACTGCGGCTGCGGCGACGGCGGGGCAAAACCAGTTAAAACCAGTGTCAAACTTATGTACAACAGGCTTCCAGGGTCTGATCTCAACCACTTGTTATCGCACCGACGCCTACTCTTGTTACTCCTATGCTGCTCCCCATGCTCTTTCCCATTCTCCTCCTTCCCAGACCGCCGACCGCCGACATCTGACTACCGAACTCAACCGACCGCAGACTACCGACAGACCGTTGTATTCTCCAATTACAGATGCGAACCGATCAATGGCCGCTCTGAGAGTTAGGGGCCACAGGGATCTGGCAAAAACCGTAGGGAACAGGACGACAACCAATTTGGACTCCAAGACCGATCCTGCAAAACCCGTTCCGAAGTAGCACCCTTGCACCGTAATGCATCATCGTCACCCTCGATGTCCCACCTCCTCCTGCCCTTCTCCGTTCGCCCCCCCCCCCTCCTCTCCACAGTCCACCCTCGTGTCCTCCTGTCGAACGCGAGTCGGTGTCGACATCACTGTGCCCGCCTCTCCCTTTACAAATCCCTTCCTCCTGAACCCCCCCGTGCCCGAGACGCACCATCTCCTACGTTACACAATGGCGCTGGCAGTGATCGCGAACTCACGACGACATCTCATCTTCCTCGGCCGCGGCTTCTTCTTGCCGCGCCCGCTTCGCCCCGCTCACACCCTGCAGCGTCACCTGCAGCGGGCTCTGTTTTCGAGACTCGTTGAAGACCATTGCATCTGTTCGCTTACGTTGTCGCGTCTCCTGTACTAATTTGTGCATGCAACGATAGGCACCTCCAACACGGAAAGTACTGCAACAGCGAGGTCGGATTCGCACAACACCAGATCACCCACACTCAGACAGCACTCATTGAAAGACGCAACACGGGGATCTCCTTCCTCTTCTAACCTTCCTCCGGCTTTCCTTCCCCGCCTCCTCCCACTACCCCAGAATGCCTGCGTGCCTGTCTTTAACGTCCCGGCCAGACCAGCCAAGTCAGGTCCGCAACCAACCTTTGGCGAAGCGTCGTACCGTCCACGATGCCGCCCTGGCTCCGAAGGAACCCACCGGCGACCAAATGAAGTCCCATGAGCCCTTTTGGGCGTAGGTGGTCTGGAACAGATTCTCTTCCACCCCTCCCTCTTCCCCCTTGTGGATGAGTTTACCCCTCACCCTACCCCCCCCCCCTGGACCTGGACGGGGGGTTCCGCGATCGGTCGGACGGCTCTTTTGGCTCCAATATGGCTGCAAGAGCGCCTCGGAGAGCCCTAGATAGGCTTCCAAGATGGCTCGAGATAGCTCAACATCGTTCAAGATGGCTCCGAGAATGCTTCAGGAGGACCGAGAACCGCCCCAGGACGGATCCAAGAGGCCAAAGAGCTCCCCAAGGAGGCCCATAAGAAGTCAATGAGACCGTCAACGAAAAAAAACCCAATGAGATGTTTGTCGGGGCTATGGGGCACACACACACACAAGTAAACCAGTAACAATGCGCGGCAATTTCTGGCAGCACTCACAACGATGAACCCGAATGGGCGACCCCCCAGTGGTTTACCTCCTTTGCTCCCTCCCTTTCGGAATTGCAGGCGACCTCCGCGCAAGACCCCCCGCCAGGCCCACTCCCAACAAGACGGCTGGCCTCGGTGCATGTGTCCCAGACTTTGGCGAGCCTCTCTGCCAGGCGCGATGAACGCTTCCCTTTCGTCGCCAGGGCCGCGAGGCGAGCCGCAGTCTCCCCGGCATCCTTGCTCGTTGACATGTCAGCCTCCCCTTCCCCGCTCGCACCCACTATTCGAGTGGTCAGCATCGTCGCCGCCGCCCTCGACTCGGACACTCTTCTGTTTCCGGCTGGGGCTGCCACCAACCCTTGTCAGCTTTCGTTATGAATCCACCGGGCCCCTGGGCGTAGGTGTTTGAAACTGTTGCTGCTTCCACCCCTCCCTCTGCGAAGACGGAGAAGAGTGCAATCTTTCGTTGTGACACCCTCTTCGCCCTCTGGATCTGCACGCGACGTTTCGCACGTCGTTGGAGCACCATAATGGCCCAAGCTGGTCCCCACTGGGCTTCATCGTCCACGTCGTCATCGTCGACGTCGCCATCGTCGTCCACATAAGGTTGTCGGCGTCATTGTCGACTTTGGTGCTCCGCCGTCGTCGTCATCCGCGTCGTCGTCGTAGTTGTCGAAGTTTCGTCGTCGTCATCGTCGTTGTCGTCGTCGACGACTTCGCTGTCGTCGTCGTCGTCGACGACGACGAGGTCTACGACGACGAGGTCTTCACTGGGGCTAGATTTTCGCCCCAGGACCGCGTCGAGGGCCCCGGGACGCAATAAAATCGATGGAAATCAGCACGGTGTCCATCCCCGTGTCTCCATTTGCCAAGTTTCCCGCATGGACTCCCAGCGACGCCTCCTTTTGCTCCATCCTGTTCTTGTGGGCTGCGCTCGACGCCACGCCGCGCTCATGGAGCTCGGTGCTCTGCACGGTAACCTTCCCTTTCCGCGCTGCTCACAAACCCATGGCCCCGGATCGCTCCGAATCACTCACTTGTCATCGGAAAGAACTGTGTGCATGTCTGCGCTTCTTCGAACCCCCTCCACCCTGAATGATGCAAACCCTCGTATGTCCTCCGTTCTGACCCCTCCCCACCCTCTCTGCATCCTGCGGCCATCAACATGTGTGCTCGACTAAGCCACCGATGAGGCAAAAGAAAAAACGATGTGGACGCAATAAATCGTGGCAACAACTCGTGATCGTACCGGAGAGATCCCCCCATGAACTTCGCCAATGGCGCCCAATGCGCTGACAAGCCGGTCGACGGTCGCAGTGTGGGTAATCACGATGAGGGTCTTGCCGCACGGGCGAACTTGCACCTCCCACCCGCGCGCCTGTTCTTCCTGACAATGCACCCGTCCACGTGTTCATGGCAGATGGTCCAACACCAAACCCTGTCAGGTCATATTGCGCGCCAGTGCAGTCCACATCTTACAATCAGGATGTTCCGCGAAAGCCTTATCACAACGACAAGACTCCGCGCCCCGATGCATCTCTCTCTCTCTCTCTCTCTCTCTCTCTCTCTCTCTATGGTGCTCAGCAACTTCCTCCACCAACCTATGCATCCATGCCCCCGCGCATGACGCTCCCATCATCCATTTCTCAATGTACCTGGCCCACTACTTTGCACAACACCAAGAACCAGGGAGTCTCCTCGCACGACGCCATCCTGACTGTCACAAAACTAAACCATACCCCAATTTGCACACTGCAGAACACCAACAAGCCCCGGCACTGTTTTCACGTTCTCCTGCACCTCGGTCGTTTCGTCTTTGATGGCAGACTGGACGACCCGAAACGCCAATCGGCGGTTCTGATTCGGCACAGCCATCGCCGCGACGTCATTCATTTTGACCGCCAAAGTGGACATGTGATCTCTACTCTCCCTCACAAGGGCTCAGAAACACTTGGGCCAGAAAATCTCACACGTGGCGGCATGTGGAATGAATTGTTCGGGGAAACGAACATGTCCATGTACAGGCAAGCCAACGCTCAAACAAAATCCATGGCAAACGCTGCCACCCACGTTCCCACAATTGCGCCAAGCGGGTCTGACATATCTGTTGGCTCAACGGCACATGTACAGAATCTCAACGACGTATCCAAGAAAAAACGAACATCGACAAGGGGGAGAGGTGGGCCCGCGGGCTTCTGCTGGAAGTCCGCGAGCTGCCTGGCTCCGAGATGGCGTCGTACCAGCTCGGGTGCTTCTGCACGCCAACAATCCTGTCGTCGTCGTCGATCGTCGTCGATCGCCGTCGATCGTCGTCGTCTTCGTCGTCTGGCGGGTCAACCCGTCAGAGGGGCCCCCAAAGCACCCCCCCGTGCGTAGCCGCAGATGAGATGCTGGCCGCTCCGGGCACGGGCCCCGGAAGCGGGGGCCGTCCCCGACGCGGAAGGTCGCCACACCGTCCCGGGGCCACAAGATGACGCTTGCCAGGGACAGTGGCGTACAGCAAGAGCTCGGCAACAAGAGACCCTCCACAAGGCACCCAACCCTGAGACCCCAGGACCCCGGAATGTCATTTCTTCTTTCTCGCACGGGCACCTCACGCTTCCCATCGCAAATGCGTCGGAGGCGAAGAATGCCCACGGCACCCTGGGGGGGAACGGTGTGCGCGTCTCAGCATGGACCCCCACAGCAGGGCCCCGAACGGCCCCAGCCAGGGACAGTGGAGTACAGCCGCCTCTCGTGGAGGCAGCACGGGCGACGGCCGTCCGGGTCGGTCCTCGCCCACTCGCTGGCGATATAGCACGAGCCGCCCTGGATGGCGTCGTAGCATTCCTGACGGCTTGGCTTCCTCCCTCTCTCGTCGCCGTCGCCGCCGTCGTCTCCTTCTGCGCGCCTCCAACTCTCTCCCTCTCCCTCTCCCTCTCCCCCTCTCTCTCTCTCTCTCTCTCTCTCTCTCTCTCTCTTTCTCTCTCTCTCTCTCTCTCTCTCTCTCTCTCTCCTCTCGGCACTCCTCTCGGCACTCCTGCATCGTCTCCCTCTCTCGTCGTCGTGGAACTCGCGGGAAGTCGTCGTCGGCGTCGACGTCGTCGTCGTCTCTCCCTTTCTCTCTCATTTCGGCGTCGATGCGTGCCGGCACTCCTGCGCGGGCTGGTACTTGCTGCGGTACCTCCACGGCGGGAAGGCCGCGGCGAAGAACAGCGGGGGGGAAGTGGATGACTTCCCCCGGGGCCGTAGGCGACCCGAGGAGGAGAAGGAGGAAGAGCAGGAGGACGACGAGTGGACGAGGAGGAGGAAGCAGGAAAAAGGAGGAGGAGGAGGAGGAGGGAGAGGAGGGAGGAGGAGGAGGAAGAGGAGGAGGAGGAGGAGGAGGAGAGGGAGGAGCAGAACGGGTCGCCTAAGCCCTTCGGCGAAACCTCCCGGGGAGGGAGGAGGAGCGAGGAATCGCTGTAGGATGACGCTGGCCATCATCTGACACCGACCCTGGCCAAGCCCACCCAGGACCTTGCATCCACGCTCCTCCTCCTGCTCCTCCTCCCTCCTCACTACTACTACTACTACTAGAACTACTACTACTACTACTACTACTACTACTACTACTACTACGACTACTACTACCACTACTACTACTACTACTACTACTACTACTACTACTACTACTACTACTACTACTACTACTACTACTACTACTACTATACTACTACTGCCATTACTACTACTCTACTACTACTACTACTACTCTACTACTACTACTACTACTACTACTACTACTACTACTACTACTACTACTACTACTACTACTACTACTACTACTACTACTACTACTACTACTACTACTACTACTACTACTACTACTACTACTACTACTACTACTACTACTACTACTACTACTACTACTACTACTAACTACTAACTACTACTACTAACTACTACTACTACTACTACTACTACTACTACTACTACTACTACTACTACTACTACTACTACTACTACTACTACTACTACTCCTACTACTACTACTACTACTACTACTACTACTACTACTATTACTACTACTACAGCAGCAACAGCAACAACAACAACGATTTGAAGACTGCTCGCTCGTATCTATTCGCGCGTAATTCGATATGCACATCCCAAACCCTGGACACCCGCCCTCTTCGTCTTCGATCGTACCCCTTCTTGGGGGGCAGATTCACTCCCTGCCACGCTTTGTCGGCGAAGCCCTTGAAAACGAGGGGCATCAGATAACGGGGAAGAATGAGGACGAAGGGATTGGGGGAAGGGAGGGGAGGGGCAAGAAGGAGGGAGGATTGCGCTGAAAGTGGCGATTCAGCTTGCGCCACGGCTTTCGCCAGTCACTCCAACACAGGTTAACAATTCGCCGGCCCAACGGGCCAGAGGCGTGCTAAGATTTCTGGCAACCGGTTAACAATTCTCTAGTTCGCGCGCGCGGGGCGGCCCCTGGGGGTCCCCGGACGAAAAATACCCCGGGCGGGTCCCGGCTGATCCCCGGGCGACTCCACCAGAGCGCTCCATGAGCGCACCAACAGGGCTCCGAGACGTCCCCGAGAGCCCCAAGAAAGGCCAAGAGGCCCCCAAGAGGCCCCCAAGATGGCACACGAGGGGTCCGACATGCCACAAGATCGCTCCAAGACGCCCAAGATAGCCCCCAGACGCCCCAAGAGGCCTCCAAGAGCACTCCCAAGAGGGCCCCAGGAGGCAAAATTCATTGTTTTTTCTTTAGGTTTTTGAAAGATTTTGGAGTTTCCACCTTTTCGGCTTCCCGACGCCCCAAGACGGCCCAAGAGGCCCCCAAGATCGCCCCAAGAGGGTCCAAGAGGCCCCCAAGAGGGCCCCAAGATGGCCCAAGAGGGCTCGAAGACGGCCCAAGAAGCCTCCAAGACGGTCCAAAAGGGCCCCAAGAACGCCCCCAAAGGGGCCCCAGACAGGGAACACGAAACAACATTTCGAGCCCTCGGCCCTCAGAAGCCCCCACGAGGCCCCAACAGGCCCCAAGAGGCCCCCACGAGGCCCCCAAGAGTCCCCCAAGCGGCCCCAGGAGGACCCCCAAATGCCCTCCGAGCACGCAAGCAAGTGCAAGCGATGCTACAATGTGCTCTCCTTTCGGTAGACTCCCAACGGGGCCCCTACAGACTTGCAACAAGCGTCAAGAACCTGCCCAAAAAGCAGTGTCCAAGAGCGTTCACAAGTGCCGCGAAGATGCCCTCCTTACGCCAGAAAGCCCGGAAAGCCGGGTGGGGTGAGCTGTTCGTCTCACCACCGCGCCCTCTCACACAATGGCTTCCGCACGCCGCCCAGAGCGCGACGTTCGGCTCATGCCCCCAGAACGCTCCAGGAGCGCGCCAAAACGGCACCGGGACGCCCCCGAAACAATCCAAGCGACCTCAAGTCGCCGAACAATCGTTCCAAATCGCCCAAAATGACCTCAAAATTGCCGTCGAAGCCGCCGACAAGCCCCAAGAGAGCCGCACCTCAAGAGGCCCTCCAAGACGGCCGTTACAATCAAAAATCGTCCCATTCCCAGAAGAACATGTACACTTCCCGCATGAACGGCGTTTCGAATTTCACAGCGCCTCAGACTACGCAAATAGCCCCCAACATCGCCCCGAGACAGCCCAACAATCCGCTAAAATCGGCCCAAGACGGCCCAAGATAACCCCAAGACGGCACAAGAGAGCACCAAGACCGCCCAAGAGGAGCCCAAAAGGGCATTCTGCCCCTAGGAGCACCTCAGAAGCCACCAACATCCCGCCAATAAGTCCCCCATGACGCCCCAAGAACCATCCAAGAAGCCCAACAAGAAGCCCCAACGACCCCCAAACGGCCCTTACGGGGCCTCAAGAGGCTTCAACACTGCCTCCAAGAGGTTCCTGAGACGCCTGGCAAAAGAACCCCCAAAGCGCCGCATTGACACCAGGCCCTCGGGCAAACGGCAGACATGAGACTGTATGGGCCGGCGGAATGAGCGAGACGATTAAATAAATGTCGCCATGGGTCGCGCCATGAACAGCGCCACGCACCACCCCCTTGAAAGAACATATCGTGGATACTCCCACGGGGGAACGTACAGCTGCGAACTGGTGTCAGCAACAAATTTCGTGGAACCCTGAAAAGAAGCGGGATGTTGGGAGAGCGGGGCGGAAGGATAGTGAGAACTGCATCCGCGTCGAAAAGAGCGCGGGGATGTGGAGCGGATTGGGACGGAGTGGACAAGAATAGGGTCTCAGGAGGAGGAGCGGCAAGGGGTGGAGAAGAGGAACCGGGAGGAGTGCGGGGGAGCGGGGGGAACACGGAGGAATCAGGACGAGGTGCTGGGAATATGTGGGAGAACTGCGGAGTGCGAGCGGAAAGGGGTGGAGATTGTTGGGGTGGGATGGGGTGGCCTGGAGAGGAATGGGCGACATGAGAAGAATTGAGGGATAGCAATGGAGTGCAAACGAAATGAAAATGATGATAATGGGAAAAAGCAAAAAAAAATACTGGGAAAGAACTTTGAAAAATGGGGGGGCAGGTGGATACGAGCGGAGACTGGTGCGGAAACAAGGCGCGGGGGGGATTGGAAGGCACCCGACAGCCTCCTATGACCTCTAGGGGGCCTCGGAATGGCCCCGATATGACCACGAAGGGCATATAATGCGGGGAACAGCGGGGCCGCTGAGGACAGACAGAAACGGGGCCACGAAGGGCAGAGAGGGGGCCCCGAAGGGCGACAGCGGGGCCACGAAGGGCAGCCATATGGGGCCACGACGGGCGCGAACGAGCGGGGGCCACGAAAGGCATTCGTCTATAGGGCCAGAAAGGGCGACAACGGGGGCAGCAAAAGGGCCACGAAGGGCAACGAGAGGGCCACGAAGGGCGACAGCGGGGCTACGAAGGGCATGCGTATGGGGCCACGACGGGCGACTGCGAGCGGGGGCCACGAAGGGCATACAGTGCGGGGCCACAATGGGCAGCGACGGGGCCACTGAGGTCAGCAAGGGGGCCACGAAAGGCAGCGAGTGAAGGCGACCACGGAACCACTACGGGCAGCGAGGGGCATCGAAGGCGGGCCAAGGGCAGCGACCGGCGACTGCAGTCCCTAACGGGCTGGTCGGGCAGGCAGGCCCAGGCGGGGGATCGAGCGGGCGGGTCGTTGAAGCGTAAATTATGCTTGAACCGCCAAGCAATATGTAGCGGGAGCGCGATTCCTGAATGTCGAGGAGCGGCATCTGAATAAATTGTGAGGAAATATCAAGCGGGAGCCGCGATTCGGTGGTAAGTTGCGAGGAAGTCCCAAGCGAGAGCGCGATTCTTCAATAAATTGTAAGGAAATATCAAGCGGGAGCCGCGATCCGGTGGTAAATTGCAAGGAAGTCCCAAGCGAGAGCGCGATTCTTCAATAAATTGTTAGGAAGTAGCAGGCGGGAGCCGCTGTTGTTGTTGACCAGGGGCCAACAACATAGTTTGACCATCAAGACTTTCCCTAATCAAGACTTTCCCAATCGAAAAAAAAACAATGTGAACCGGACGGGGGGGATCAACAATAATTAATCTTCAGAAATGAGAGTTCAACAAACAACAACAACAACAACAACAACAACAACAACAACAACAACAATTACTAGCACGTGGGGACACTCCGTTCTCACCAGTGCCAGGGTTTTCATAGGAGGCGGGCAATACCCCCACTTTGTGGGGGGGCCGGTTCAAGCTCTACCAAATTTCCAAACGACTCTTCGCCACCACCCACACCCAGCTTCCCGCCCTATGACGTTCGGACACTTCACTTCGTGGCATGCGGACGACCGTGGCTACTATTCAGGGCCCCGCGGCCGACGACGACGGCGTGCGCGCGCGAAGAAAAAACGAATGTGTCCCGCATGGTATTATTTGACAGGGATGATGGCCCTGGCAGGTGCGCAACCGTTGTCGCAGAAGTTCGAAAAAGTTGCTCGCAAAAGCCCGTTTGACAGAAATGTTTAAAAAGTGTTGGGTTTCCTACGAATCCGCAAGAGCGCGCGGGATGAGATTTTGACATTTTTTTGTTGAAAAACCATTGGTTTTTTGATGTTTTTATGTTAAAATCGCTCCGAACACTAAGCTTTTGGAAGGATTTCGTCTTGCGCGCGCGAATGTCCACTTTACCTTATTTTTTGCAAGGGATTCTTGAAATTTGATTATATTAGAACAAGAAATGTCATTTTATAGTGTTTTTTGCAAGGGAAAACGGATTACAACAAAACAACCGGATCTGGATCACATCGTTTTACCTGAGGCTTCCTCACGAAAATGATGAAAATGTAGCTGCGGCCTAGGCGGCGCAGGGGGGGCGCGCACCAGGGGGCCCAACAATAATTATTCTTTAGAATAAATAATGTTCAACAACAACAACAGCAGCAGCAGCAGCAGCAGCAGCAGCAGTAACAACAACAACAACAACAACAACAACAACAACAACAACAACAACAACAACAACAACGGTTCCCGCTTGATACTTCCTCACGCTGTAT